CGTCGTTTGTTCTTGTTGGTTGTTTTGGTTTGTTGTTTCCTCCTCTCTGCGGGTCGGAGAGTGCCGCCTCTGTGTATTTTTCTTTTTCTTTCTGACTTATTTCGCTGAGCATGATCCCTTCTAGCTCCATCCATAGAACATTGATTTTTTATAATTCACATTCCCAGCACTTAGAAAATTTTCTTGAATGGCAACTCTAAAATGACAATTGTATTTTGAATCAAATAATATGAAGGGGCATCTCAATATCGCCTCTCTCTACTCATTTAGCAACTTGTGCTGTTTGGAGATGCCTCCTCTGAAGCTCCCCTCTGTCTTCATTTTCATCATTTCCCAATAAAAGTCTCAGTCTTGCCTCACTTCATTATCCCCTGTAAACCTCTCTCCTTACCCTTTGCTGCCCTTGACAGGAAGGTCTCCATGACCACCTTTGGCTTTCCAAGGTGAGGGGAAGCCCCATTGTCCCAAGGGTAGAGATTTAGTTTGGTCTTCAAGGAAGATACCTCAACCTTTGTGGTTCCCTGATGGGCAAATACCAATCCTGTGGAGACATTTCCCACATCTCAGGCACCCTGGGTTTTCTTTCTTCCAATAGAGGAGTCAGAGCCTGGAGGATGGATGAGAACCTGGAAGGTTCAGAGGCAGGTGAGGCTGCTGGTCAGGGGCCCTGAGAGTTGGTTTGGATGCAGATGAGTCACAGCTGCAGGGAGGACAGAGGAGGAACTCTTTACTGAGTGGAAGGAATGAAGAAAGAAAAGTGATGAAAACCAATTTCGTTATCATTGCTCTCTTGCTTCCCTAGAGAAAACCAAGTCCAAAGGCTATAACAGTGAGAGAGAAACATCCTCTGACCGAAACAGCCCCAAGAAGAAGCTGAGATGTAGAAAATTGGGGCTCTCCAGACTCAGGTTTGGGCAGAAAGAACAGATTCCTGGAGATTGGCTCCAGAGATCCCACCTATGACTCAGTTGATGTCTCCCTTGCACATGTGCTACATTGAAATCCTCTCACCCATGTGAGAGGATAGGAGGGGTGAAGCACCAAGGAGAGAGGGTCAGACATAACTAAATGCTGTGCCTGAAGGAACATGAGCTGTTGTGCAGGAAGCTGGGATATGGAGCTGCAGTCAGGAGCATAAAATAGTTACCAAAGGGCCTCCCTGTTGGCGCAGGTGTTGAGCGCAGCGCTGTGAAGCTGTCGGCAGCCTCTGCAGCGCCAGTTCCATCCCGGCTGGCTGGTGAGGGTCCCACATGGCGGGGCAGACCTCTCCTGTCTTGCCCGCTGCTCCCCTCAGCAGTGTGTTTCAGTCAGTCTGCCTGTTCTGTTCCCCACTCTGTCTCTGGTGAATCCTCTCACCCTCCCGCACATCTGGCCTGTACCCCGGTTCTTGTATAAATAAATAAATCTTTAAAAAAAATAACAGTTACCAAAGAAGCTATGTCTGGAGGCCAGAGTGTGCGCCAATTCTGTGACCTTGACACTGTGGTTCTTGTGACAGAATGTCCCTGGTTTCTGCTTCTCTGGCCTAAAATAAGGACAAAGTCCCTGCAGATCTTCAATATTATTTACATCTCTTTAAACACATTGATCTTTATCAATGAAAGAGCCATTGTTTGGTGTGGGTCTGGGTGCCTTTGATCTTTCTGATTGAAGTAACAGTGTGTCTGCATCTCTTCAAATTTATGACCCAGATCTGAGCCCAGTTCTCTACAAGGCAACATTGCAAATAAAGGGGGTTTTGTTACCTTCAGTTTTCCTTATGTAGGTTCTTTAGGATTGTGTGGGGTTAGGTTAAATGGATTAATCCAACTTCAGTGGCCCTTGGTAAAACTGTTTTTTTTTTTTTTTTTTTTACCCTTGCCATTTAACCTACTTCAGCAAATTTTAGAAATTTTTCCTGACATTTTTTCAGGTCAAGTCAGTAAGACTGATTTCCAGTAAACAGACAAGGAGCAGGACAGGAGCTGTCAATGAGAGCCCAGTCTTCACCCTGACATTTCAGAGGGGATTGTCAGGAGCTCAGGATGATGCTCCACATCAGCCAGGCCCTTCTTTGACCCTCAGTTGTACAGAAACTGCATCTACATTCCAATAAATACACAAATGATACCAAAGAATTGGGTGTTTATCTGTGGTGAACTGAATACTATTATTGGAATATTAAAATTCTACTTCTTACTAATAGTACCAGTCTTGTCTACATATTAAAATGTTCCTATCACACTTTGCCATTTACTGCAGCATGGGTGGAGATGGAAGGAATTATGCTCAGGGAAATAATTCACAAGGAAAAAGATAAATATCTGATGGCGTCGCTTACATGTGGGATATAGAGAAATTGAGCAAAGGGTTGCAGAAATGAGAAAACTTGCAAGCTGGCCATTGATCTGCAGACTACAGCAGTGGAGGGGGTGAGGGGGAGGTAAAAACAAGGGAGGAAAGAGCACAAGGGACTACGTGATGGTGCACAGGTGAATTGGCGGTGAAACTATGGGGGTTACTCCCAAGGGGAGAAATCAGATAATTTCCAAAAATGAACAATGATGTAAGAAAATGAATAATTAAATTTTATAAAATTTAAAAGACCAAAATACATAAATAAATAAAATGTCCTACAGGTCATTGATGAGTGAAAGAATTTCTGTCACATCACAGAGGTGAATGACTTTAAAATAATAGGCCAGCATTAGAATTCATGCTTGTTGGAAAAGATCATGTTAATAAGAAGACCCTAGAATTGATTTTCCTTACAGTCAACTTTTTTGTCCAGAAGAATGTATACAATTTATCTTTTCTCTCAGTTTTCTGCTTCGCTTCTTATATATAGATGTTTAATTATTATAAGTTTATTTTTGAGATTAATATCAAGTGGAAATATGATTTTATTATATTTAAATCTATCTCTAAGTTTTCAACATTATTTGCTGAATAATGTAGCTTCTTCAATGATTTAAAATATTCCCTTTACAAATACTAAATTTCTGTGTACATCTTTGAGATGACTAGATATTTTATATTCACTCCTCCCACTTTTGTCTATTGTTATGTTTTTGATATCTAATCCCTTCACATCTATCTTTGATTTCATAAGTTTCCTACAATTTCTTCCATGTGAGTTTTAAAATCAATTAGAAAATGAATACAAATTAATAGTAATTTGCTTCAGAAGGCTCTATCTTGATTTGTTTGAGAACTTATCATTCAACATATATTTAGGTATCTAATATATGTCAGATTAAGTAACAGTATAAAGAATATTTCTTTCTTACTCTGAGTTTGTCATTTCATGAGCTTAATATTGAAACTAACAACCTGTTATGAGAAAAATGCTTTAATTAGAATGAGAAGCATACAGACAAACTCCCAACTAGCCCAGATTGGGGGTCCTGCCCTGGGCCTCTCTGGGTATGGAAATGGGTCAGAAATGAAAGACACGCTATAATCTCACCAGTCATACTCATGTAAGTGAACCCCTTTGTCCTTAAATTCTTTAATTTCTGTGTGTCATTCTGCTTTGTTTTGCTTTCTGTAGCATGTATTTAGATTCATTCTTCTGAAATCCTGTCATGCATACTTCACAGTTTGCATACTTATGCAGAATCCTTTACCAGAAAGAATTTTATCATGTCCATAATTAATATTCCACACTCAGAAGCCAGACATGCATATGAAAAATATTCTTTATAATTTTCATTATTTTACATTTTCATTTCATTTTATCCAAAATATGGTCCCTAAATGACCAAATTATGATCATGAATCTTTCTGTGGTCTCCCTCATTAAGTTTAAACTTCACCCACTCCCAACATAACCTACCACACACCCCACCCACACCCCACTTATACAAACGTTGCTGCCCTTTTTATTCTTCTTTCCACCCAATTGTAGCTCTTAAGATTGTTTTTTCAGTCTACATGAAAGAAATGAGAAATGGTTGCAGGATAGGTGGTGGTAATAGGATGGGGTGCAGGGATAGGATGGGAGGAATACAGGATGATAAAATGTGTTCATATCTTGTTTGACAAATATTTCCTCCAAGTTTTTGTATCTTTTATCCTTATTAAGGCTGGTGCAATCCAAATTCTGACCTGTTTGCTTCCCTCTTCTCCCTCTCACCATTTTTATCGTATGCTGCTTATTCAAGAACTCACACAGGACAGGAACAAAGAGTTAACATAGTGATAGGATTAAAATACAAAGAAAAACCTGTAGTAGAAAGGGATCAGCACATTTGTGTCTCATGATCTCCCAGTGAGATCTCACTCTCCAGCAAGTTCATGGACAAATCCCAGGGTTTTAGGAGAAAACTCTAAGATCAATTCTCCTTGTACTATGACTCTGAGCTTTCTGAACATCCAAATTCATCTGTGCACAGCCTCTTTCACAATCAGGTCACCTAAGAAGTTCTTGGAATTTCTTGCCATCAAAAATTGTCAAAAAATAGCATGTGAAACCATGGAAGTGGACATTGTCTATTTCCTCCCTGGAACATCAGTCTGTCTGTGGCTGGAAGCTCTCATGGGCCAGGACTCATGGATTTCCTAATCCTCAGTCACTAGAGGACCAGCTTCTGAGATAACAGTGGCCAGAACTGTCACGCCAGAAATCTCAGGGTGGCGGTCATGTCTGGATAACAGGCCTCTAGCCTCCTTAATGCCAAGGCTCTGTTGACTCTGGGCTAGACATCTTGGGAGCAAGTCTGAACACCCACTACAGAGCAATGGCCTCAGGTCCTGTAACTTCCTGACGACTAGATATGGAATTCACATTTCTGACACCTCAAAATGTACATATTCTTGGGATTCAGTCATCTAACTGACCCTGAAAATCCTTCTGGACTTATCTTCAGAAACTCACTCTTGAAAAGTCAATTCTGACTGTCAGATTCTCTTTCCACGCTCTGCCCTTAGAGAGAAAGATATTTACACCATTGCCTGTACATGCCATTTCCCATGCCACTGACAGGTCGTGAACACTCTCTCTCTTGTCTTTTCTCTAGGATTTATACGTCTGACTGGAGGGAGTGGGCACTGCTCAGGGCGAGTGGAAGTGTATTCCAGAGGAGACTGGACTCCAGTGTCTGACGGGAACTTCACATCCCCCACCGCCCAGGTCATCTGTGCACAACTGGGGTGCGGCAAGGCTGCATCTGTGCTGGGGGGCGTGCCCTTCAGAGAGTCAGATGGACGGATCTTTGCTGAGGAGTTCCGGTGTAAGGGGCAGGAGCCAGAGCTCCAGTTGTGCCCCAGGGTGCCCTGTCCTGGAGGCACCTGCCCCCACCGTGGGGCTGTTCACCTTGTATGCTCAGGTGAGAACAGAGCAGGATTCACCTTCCCTGCTTTCTTTGATGGGCTAAGAAACACATGACTTTTGGCTGAAGTCCTATCTTCTCCTCCCAGCATACACAGAAATCCGACTCATGAACGAGGGCAGCTCTCAGTGTGAGGGACAGGTGGAGATGCATATTTCTGGGCACTGGAGCTCACTCTGCGCCTCCCACTGGAGTCTGGCCAATGCCCATGTTGTGTGTCGTCAGCTTGGCTGTGGAGTCGCCCTGTCCACCCCCAAAGTAGCACGCTCTAGGGGAGGAGCTGACCAGGTCTGGAGGGGCCGATTTCACTGCTCAGGGGCTGAGGCCTCCTTGTGGAACTGCCCCATGACTGCACTGGGTGCTCCTGACTGCGGCCCTGGAAACACAGCCTCTGTGATCTGCTCAGGTGAGAGAGGGGTGGTAAATGCACTCAGGGTGCTCAGGTCCCTCAGAAGAGGATGTATAGGAAAACTGGCTTCGGATTGAAGGGTGGATTATATAGAACAAACTTTTGTCAAAATGTGTCCACATGTACTCTTTTTTTTTTTTTTTTTTTAACTCTTTGCTTTTTTTTTTTTTTTTTTAAATATTAAATTTTATGTTTATATTCCCCCATACAATTGCAAACGCCCCATTCTGACCCCAATCCTTCCCCTAACGCCCCCCCCCCCCAAAAAGTGTCTCTGGTTCATAGTTTTTTTTTGATTTTGATTTTCACTTTCTTATATTCATTTTCCTGGTCCCTTATTTAAGTTTTCTAGATTCCTGCTATGAGTGAGACCATCCGGTATTTTTCTTTTTCTTTTTGGCTTATTTCGCTGAGCATGATCCCTTCCAGTGCCATCCATGTTGCTGCAAATTGCATGTGTTTATCTTTTTTGAATGCTGAGTAATTTTCTCCACATGTACTCTTAATGTAGGTGTTTTATTGCAAGAGAATTACACATTAATCCAGTCTAATTTTTTTTAACCAGTTTTCTTTTTTTTCTGGGTTAATTCTCTGTGGTCAACATATATGATTTTTATGACTTCTTAGTTTTCCCTTTGAAAACATTTGGAACTCATTTTGCCATAACATACAATCAATGTTGGTAAATGGCCTACATGCCCTTAAGAATAATGTGTATTCTTCTGTTTTGTGCAGATTTTACAAATCATGCCATTCACATATTCCAAATACCTACTGAGAGCTTTTCTGAAAGGGACAGATCTTTCACTTTTGTTTTCTGAATACACATTGCTTCACACTATGATTATGGAAAGCAATCACTTTGTTTTTCTTCTTCCAATCACATATTCTTCATGCCTTAGCCTCTCATCAATATTTCCCCCGACCCAGCAGCCTTCTGCTAGTAAGCCCTTCTGAGTTCTGCCTACTTCCTTGACCCCAAAGGAAGATGTCTTGGCTCCTGTGAATAAACACGTTCTCAACATCCATAGACAAGTCCTGCAGACACACATTTTAAATTCTCTGTAGGAGAAGCTTAGTTGAAGAAAAGCATTTCTCTTCCTTGTTAGGCCTCATAAGTACCTGGGTTGCTATTGCTGGCTACCAATTTCCCCAAAAAAAGTTAGCATCAGAAACAAAAAATGCATTTTTATTTTGCTGTAATTTCCTGGGTCAGGGATTTGGGGAAGCTCAGTTTGGCAGTTATGTCTATTAGATTCATGTCGCTGTTGCTGGAGCTGCCTGAACTGGGAACCCAGGATGCTCAATGACAGGAGGGCAGACCCCCTGCCTGTGGCTTTCCCTAGGACAGGCTCAGCAGAGCAGCTCCCCTAAAGCATGTGTCCTCAGTGAGGCTGGGGAGGCTGCACGACTTTTCTGTCCTGGTGCAGGGAATCAGCAGTGTTGCCTCCACTGCATCGCGTTGCCTACAAGCAAGTCATGAAGGTCAGTGAGATGCAAGAGATGGAGGCATAGACTTCACTCCTCAGTGGCCACAGTATCAATGATTTTGTAGATATGTTTAAATGGTACCAGGATGTACGAAACGTCCCACTATGAGAGTGGGTTTTTAGTTTCTACCTTTCCTTCTTTCATTTGTGTGTTTAAGGGTCTAAAACTTCTTATATATGTAACTTAGACCTTCCACCCTATCTGTTGTGCCCCTTTTCACGTTTCTAATTATTTCGTTCTGTGCTGTCTTCCTTATACTCTCCTCTGAGGTCCACTGTACTCCTGCCTCCAAATCTCTGCTGAGGTTTTCAGTCACATCTGTAATGTTGAGTTGACACAGGTCTCAAGGGGAAAGAGATTCACTCCTGCTCTTTGCTTCTCTCTGAGCATCTGGTTCCAAAATTCTCACAATCCTTTAAACTCTGCAACACCTTCAACTCTATTGCCATATTCCAACTTTTTAATGTTCATTCTCAGTGATTCTCTGTATTTGGCTTAAAAACAGAAATATTAGTGGATCAAGAAAATGTGGTATATATACACAATGGAATATTATTCAGCAATCAAAAAAGATAAACTCCTGCCATTCACAGCAATGTGGATGGAGCTAGAAGGATTTATGCTCATTCAGAGGAAAAAGAAAAAATATTGGATGGTTTCACTTATAGCGGGAATATAGGGGAACCAAATAAGACATCAGTGTAAAATATAATAACTATATAAAACAAAACAAAAAAAGACAATTATAAATCAGAGACATACTACAGAAGAGGATGGGGAAGAGGGTGAGAGGGAGGGAGGGAGGAGCATAGGGGACTCCATCACAGGAGGTGATGGTGCACGGGTGCATTGGTAAAGGAAATTCTATGGGGACTACACCTGAGGGAGGGGAAGCAAATATTGTTTCAAAATGAACAATGATGTAAAAATTTTTTTAAATAATTAAAAAACAAACAAAAAATCCCAGAAATATTGGTCTTTGGGGACATAATTTCTACACTGAAAGTGAAATCTAAAATTATGATGCCATGACTGTCCTGTTAGATTTCATCTTAGACCCCAGCAAGAGTTTATTATGCAGTTTAATTCAGTTTTCTACTCTTCAACCCCACTAACCCTCTGTCCTCGGTACTCTGCAGGAAACCAGACCCAGGTGCTGCCCCTGTGCACCCACCCTCCGTCTCCACCAGCAGGCTCTGCAGCTTCAGAGGAGGGCACAGCCAACTGCTCAGGTGAGGGCCTGCCAGGACCAGGAAAGCTTCTCCTTGCACATTAGAGCCCCACTGACCTGACTCTCTCCGCAGACAGCACACAGCTCCGCCTGGTGGATGGAGGCCATCCCTGCGCCGGCAGAGTGGAGATCCTTCACCAGGGCTCCTGGGGCACCATCTGTGATGATGGCTGGGACCTGCGTGATGCCCACGTGGTGTGCAGACAGCTGAGCTGTGGGGAGGCCCTCAACGCCACAGTCTCTGCTCACTTTGGGGAGGGATCAGGGCCCATCTGGCTGGAGGAGCTGCAGTGCACAGGAAAGGAGGCCCAGATGTGGATGTGCCCATCCCTGGGCTGGGGACACCATGACTGCTGGCACAAGGAGGACGCCGGGGTCATCTGCTCAGGTCTGTGCTGCACATTGTCCAGGGACTGGGAGTAGAGTGTGGGGGTGTGGGGGAGACACTCCAGAGTGCCTGTCTCTCGAGCACATATGAGAATTAGGTGTCTCCTTCCTTCCTGTGGCTGCTGAGGGTCTAGCCCTTCCCTCACAGCAACATCTCCTGATGGAGCCACGTCCTACAGTTTTCATTTGCAAACAGGGCTCAATCTTCAGTTACAGGATCTATATAATACAGAATCCTGTACTGGTTTCTACTTGCTATAACAGATTTCCACATAATTAGTAGTTAAAGCAACTTATATTAATCATCTTACAGTCTTGTAGGTTAGAAACCCAACACCAGCTCACCTGGCTAAAATCAAGGTGTGAGCAGGACTGCATCACTTCAAAGTCCTGTGGAGGAATCAGTTCCAAGTTTCTAGAACCTGTCTGTGCTCCTTCGCTCAGAGCTCCCTTCCTTGGTCATCAGACCAGCAGCGTTTTACATCTCTAAACATTCTCCATAATAACCTCTCTCTCTAACCAAAACCACTTTTACAGATAGTGGGTCCAACATGTGATTACACTTGGCTCACCTGGTTAATCCTTGATATTCAGGTTAATCTCACTTTTCCAAGGTTTTCTCTTAGTCCCATCTGCACACTCTCTTTTCGTGCAAGGTCACATATTGACATGTAAGTGATGATACTAACAGTTTCCAGGCATCAGTATGAAGACATCTTTGGTGGCATTAATCTCACGGCACCCTATTTATGTCAACCCCTTCCTCATGTTCTAAGGTTTTGACAGGAAGCAGCATCCAGCAATCCTGCAGAGGGCTCAGAGAACTGAGTGGGATGCTCACATTGCTCTGTCTCCTCCTTTACCTTTCAGAGTTTGTGGCCCTCAGGGTAGTAAGTGAAGACCAGGACTGTTCTGGATGGCTGGAAGTTTTCTACAACGGGACCTGGGGCAGTGTGTGCAACAGCCTTGTGAATGCTGTGACCTTGTCCATGATCTGCAGGCATCTTGGCTGTGGGGACAGCGGGACCCTCAACAATTTGGTTGCTGCTAGGGAAGGTGCTGGGCCCAAGTGGGTAGATAGAATCTGGTGTAGGACAACCGATACCTCTCTCTGGCAGTGTCCTTCTGACCCTTGGAAATACCATTCGTGCTTTTCAGAAGACAAAGCTTCTATCACGTGCGCAGGTGACTGTTGTATGTGTCTGTCTCTGCCCCATAGGCTGTCACTAGTGATGTTTTATAATATTTTTATATCAGGGTTATGAGTTTATGTTAAGTTTTTAAAATGAAATTGGCCAATTATTTAATGCACATGTTCCATACTTGTTTCGGAGGAAAATATAATGAAACTTGGGCTGACGGCAGTTCATGTGAAAAATATGGAACCTGTGGAGAGCGTGAATAATCCTTTGATCAAATCCTGAGGAATGGCTAGTTAATCATGACTAGACAATGCTATGCTGAACACCTTGAAATAAGTCAGGGCCAGGTCCCCAAGCTCTGTGTCTCTTATGCTTCTGGATTTTCCAATGCATCTGTATTCATCAGACTCCTGGTCAGTCTGCTGGGAGAGAGTAAACCAGCTCTTGTTGAATCAAAATTACACTCCAGGCCAGAGGACGGAGAAGAGAGAATATACAAAATCTGCCTTGTGCAGCATAAGATCTCAGGTTGAAAACTCTCAGTAGGCAGAGGTTTCACTGTCATGAGGATTAGGAAGTGCTGTGGAAGGGTGAATGGGGCCAAAGAAGAAATCTCGTTTCCTGGAGACTGGAAGGATGAGTAGAGTACTATCAAAGAAAACATGGGAAAATTATCCCACTTCTTCAGTGTAAATATTGCCTGCGTAAATACTGGGTTTTGAGAAATATCTGTCATGGTGAGAGGAGAAGGAATAAGGGGGAACAACACAGGGAACCCTGGAAGACCCCTTGTGGGCAGGGTGCAAGGAAACAGTTTTGTCAAAGAGGAACTGGTTTATTCACTTGACTGTCACTGCTGAGGGGCCAGTGACCTTGGGTCTCCATATCTCTCTCCATGCAGTGACCATTTCTAAGAGGTGATCAGAATCTCAGTTTTCTTGGTCGATCTGTTATGTAATGTTCCTTAAAAAAGTACAAATGGAGAATTGAATATGAATTATTTCTGTGATTGTAGACTTATTTTTAAAATATCTTCTTTTTAGTACCACAAACCACTTATATGATTTTGTTTTTCTATGATAGTTTACTCATAAAAAATAACTTAGAGGAACTATACTTCACTAGATTTTAGTCATCCATTCATTCAGCAAGATTGGTCAAACCCCTGTCCCCAGTGCTTACAGAGGATTCTGTACACACCTGTTGAGTGAAGGCCTGTGGTGCCAGGCACTGAGCTAAGAACAGAGGCTCAGATGTGAGTCAGGTCTTTCCTTTAGCAGACCTGCATCTGTGTGTGTGTGTGTGTGTGTGTGTGTGTGTGTGTGTAAATTGTGGAGCATGGAGTGTGATAGACAAGGTAAAAGATATAATATTTCAGCAGCTGATGAGGGTGAAGATCCAGGGAGTTTCAGGCACTCAGCCAATAGATTAACTAGGAAGCCCATGTGTCCCCTTGTCATTTGGACTGGAGCAGGTGGCATTGTTTGGAGAGCAGATCACCCATTCCTGTCGCTGACTCACCAATCCCCCTTTGCTTCCACAGAAAAGAGATACAGGAACTGTCCATCTGCAGCCCCCTGCACAGGTACATCAGCCCCTCCCAGCTCCCGGGCTGTCCCTGGGGCTCCTCCTCCAGCAGGGCCCTAACAGGGGTCCCCTGGCCTTGCAGACAGGGAGAAGCTGCGCCTGCGGGGAGGAGACAGCGCGTGCTCAGGCCGCGTGGAGGTGTGGCACGCGGGGGCGTGGGGCACGGTGTGCGACGACTCCTGGGGCCTGGCCGAGGCCCACGTGGTGTGCGGGCAGCTGGGCTGTGGCTCGGCGCTGGACGCCCCGCGGGCGGCGGCCTTTGGGCCTGGAAATGGCAGCATCTGGCTGGACGAGGTGCGGTGCAGGGGCGGGGAGTCCTCCCTGTGGGAGTGCCCTGCGGCTCCCTGGGGGCAGAGCAACTGCAAGCACGAGGAGGACGCGGGAGTGAGGTGCTCGGGTGAGTGGAGAGATCCCTTTCTTTGGGGTGACCAGAGAGTGCTTGTGCTCGCATCCAGAAATTCTTCCTGGACTCACTGCTGCTCTGGACCTTGGCACCTGAAGGCTATTACCAGATCCCTTGGGGGCTGGGAGAGACCAAGGTGCCAGAGTGGTATGTGTGACCCTGGAGTTTTCCCACCCAGCTCAGTAGTTGATCCCCTTCTCTGCAGGTGAGAGGACAACATTCACCTCATCCTTGGGCGTTACATGCTCCAACGTTACAGTCCTATTAATACTGGCAGCTGTAATGCTCCAAAACTTCATCTACTTCACTTTCTAACAACCCTTAGAAATGATACAGAAGACAGCTGGCACATCTCAGGGCAGGATCTGTATGAACACATCTTGGGTTCAGGCCCAGCATTGTATCTGAGTGCTAACTTCATGGTCTTGAAGACTCAGTGGATGAGCAAGTAAGGGCAAGTAGGGAAGGGCTCTCCTGGACCTACAGCCCTCTCTTAACCTCACATCCCTCTTCTGTCCAAGATCAGACTCAGCTCCTGCACCTGGCATCTCCTGGACTGGGGTCTTTTGCATCATCTTAGTGGTCCTTCTCTTCCTGGTCCTGGTCATCCTGGGGATTAGGCTGCACAAAGGGAAAGCAGAGCACCAAGGTAGGCCATGGGGGATGCTAAAGGGAAGTTGTGGGAAGGTGTTAAGACAGTTATGATACCAAGAATAGTGCCCCGGTAACTGTTCACCCTCACAGTCTGCCAAAGCACCTTCCCTACAGTAGCCTTCAAGATTCGAGACAGCTGAATCCTTGATTGAATGTAAAACCTCTCAAAACTTATGACTCACTATGGAAGCAATGTCAGTGGTAATTGAGTAAGGGTCATAGTCAGTGTCAGGAAAACTGTCTCTGTCCCACAGAGCTCAGCAAGGGGCTCTGGCAGCCCAGAGGGAACCCCCAGAGAAGGGCACAAGAGAGCACCATGTGTCTTGCCTGTTGTATAGGGACTGTCTCCAGGACTTTTCTCTGACTTCGTGCCATTTTCTGTAGCATCACCTGCTTTTGAAGATGTGCTAGATGAGGCCTTGTACCAGGAAATTGATAACTATGCTCTGCCGGAAAAGGAGAACATTTTGGACAGCTCAGGTATGTCCCATGCCCTCCCCGCTGTTCCTGAGCTGACCATGGGTTCCCTTCACATTTATAGACTCAACCTCTCCCTCCTCCCAAAGCAGGAACTCCCAGCCCTCTCCCTACAACACTGAAGCCCCATTTCTTCTGAACCTTGACACCAGGCCTCCTACTATGGCAAACATTTTTCTCTGTAATGTTCTCCACCACCACCCCCTCCCCAGAAAACCTGTCTGATGACTCATCGACTAAGCTGCCATATTACACAGGGGATGATGAGGAGAATGGAGACCCTGGATCTGCCCCAGGTAGGAGACACAGATTTTTGCTTGGTTTGTGGGCATGAAAAGGAGGAATCTCTTCTGAAGAGAAATTCTGTGATGAGGATGTGAGGATTCTCTTCTGTCTTCTTCACAAAAACCTTTGCTCTCTCCGCCCACTCTGTCACCTCACAAAGTAAAATATCAGACCCAGTTCTCTGTATCTACAGCTACTTCTAATCAGTTGCAGACATGAATCTAATTCTTATAGACTCAAAGACCATTTTTTCAGTAATAACTGAAACTGACATTTTGAGAATTTCCAGGGTGAGCACTGGGAATTGTGGTTTGCACAGAAGATGGTGTTGATATTTGTGGGTCATGTACACACTGAGATCCCAAAAATCGATTTTGCTAAGCTCTAGAAAACATGGACTGGGGCTCCCTGGTGGTGCAAGGGGTTAAGCCACAGCATTTTGAAGCTATCTGCAGCCAATGCAACATGAGTTCGAGCCCCACCAGGGAGCTAACATACATAGTGCAGCAGACCTCTCCTGTCTCTCCCGCTGCTCCCTTCAGCAGTGTATTTCTGTAGATCCTCCTGTGCTGCTCCCCACTGTGTCTCTGGTGAATCCTCTCACCCCAAGAACCCCTGGCCTGCACCCCAAATAAATAAATAAAAGAAAATATGGCCTGCTGATGCTTCTACTTACCACCTTATTGACAAGCTCTTAGTGACAAGGGACCTGAGAGAGGAGAATGTTCCTCTTAGATCTTCCCCAGATGGTGATGATGCATAGTTCTGGGGATGAGACATGAGACATGTCAGAGGGATCCTGGAAATTGGATCCTCATATCAAAACATCCTTAGATCAGTAGAGTGAAACCCAGGCCCTTTGGTGCAGGATAAGGGATCGCCTGTCTAGGAGTGAGAGGTACCAAGCTTCCTTCACCTGTTTGCTCTGTGTTTCCCACAGACTCAGAAGCATGTGGACAGATGGGTTCTCTCGTCTCAATTCACTTTAAGACACTGATTTGTACATAGTATATGTTTCAAGTCTGTAGCATGTGCTTGAATGTAGTATCAGGTTCATATTACAATAGTTTTTGTTGATGCTTAATGGTATGAGAACCATGTTAAGAAAGTTATACTGGAGTATGTAGAAGAGTCAAATAATTTCTGAAAATATTGAGTTGAAATATATGCCAGAGACAGCCCTGCAATCTAGAGCTTATACATATCAGCTGTTCTAATCTCTGTAGTAGAAGGGCGTGAGCACTCCCCAGTCCACCCTCAGTCCTTGTTCATTTCCAGAGTCTCCCGGACAGCATGTCAGAGCCACAGGGGATGGTTATGATGATGTTGAAGAGTTTCCTGTTCCTGAAATTCCTACTTCCCAAGAAATAAGTAGGAATCATTTTTCCCCAGAGGAGGACGGTGGTGCACAGTATTCCCAGCCAGGTGAGTCTCAGCTCTGTCTCTAATAGCCTCATTTCCTTTTCAGTGGGAGGATGAATTTGGACTTGTCAATAGTCAGTTTTATTTTTGCAATCAA